CTCCGGGGGGGGGGGGGGGGGGGGGAGAGAGAGACAGGGGGGTGGGGGTGGGGGGGGGCGTACCATTGACGGTAAAGGTGCCCACCACAGGTCGCGGGTCGGCAGCCATGGTGGTGGTGTTGGCCGAGTGTCCGAGTGTGGTGTGGCTGGCTCTGGTGCTGGTCGCTGGTGGGGAGACGGGGGAGGGGAGACGGGGGAGGGGGGTGACGTTTGCTGGCGATTGGGCGAGGGGTGAGGTGCAGAGGGAGGGATGGATGTTGTTGGAGATTGCTGTATCGGATCAGGGATCGGAGTACTGGCATGCGCCATAGGATAGGAGAGGAGGAGGGGAGGGGAGGGAGGGGAAGTGTGGGGGGAGGGGGATGCGTCGAATGGTGGCTTTGTCAGCGCCACTCGAAGAGGACGGACGACGGCGGGTAAGATGGTCATGTGGTGGAGATGCGCGAATCGAGAAGGGTCGAGTTTGCGGCCGAGTCGGGGCCGCCGGTGGGCGGCCGATGCGGGACGGTGGCCAGACAATGAGCTCGACGCGTCCAGTGACAAGACCGAGCGGAACAGGGCCAAACATGTTCGAGTCCTGCGAGGCGAGCGGATTGTCGCCCTCGAGCCAGCAGTGGCCCTTGGGAACACGGACGTATCGACGCTTGTACGATCGGGTAGCGACGACGTCGCCAGGAAGTGCCACCACCCGCTTGACGAGCTCGACGTGTGGGTTGTCGGGCGAGATGAGAGTGACGACATCGCCGCGCCCGAGTGAGCCGTGCTTGGCAGCAAAGACATTGAGGAGCACAACATCGTTGCTAGGCACCGGCGCTGAGCTGCTGGTGGCCGGCTCCAGCTGCGCCACGCCAGGCAGCGGCGGCTTCTGGACGGTGCCGGCTTGGGGGTTGAGCGTAGGGCTCATTGACGCGCCGACCACCGTCGCAGCCTTGGCGCCGTTGCTGTGGACGAGGACAAGGGCAGGGACAACAACAGCAACTGTTTTGACGATGTCTGTCAGCATGGTCCGCATCGTGGTATGTGTGTGTGTGTGTATGTGTGTAGGTGGTGGGAGGAGTGTTAGCATGGTTGCGTTCGATTCATTAGTGTTCAGGGCAGCGGGGAGGGGGGGGAGGTCAGGCCGTGGGCTCGATGTCAAGATCGGGCCTGCGAGCTTAGAGGAACTCAAACGACTCGGGAATGAGGTCATAGCCCTTCTTGAAGCGCTTGTTGGTGGCAACCTCGTCGTAGTAGCGGTTGATGCCAGTGACCTGCCAGTTGCCGGACGAGTGGTGGATCTTGATGGCAATCATGCCCGTGTTCTTGACCTCGGGCTGCTTGGGGGTGGGGAACGGCGACTTGAAGAACGACGACGGGCCCTTGCACTTCTTGCACGCGCCGCAGCCGAGCGACTCAAAGCAGGCAAAGCCACGCTTGATCATGCCCATCAGGTTGCCGATCTTGGACATCGGCCACGAGACGCACGTCCCGCAGCACTCGCCGCACGGGAGCGACGGGCAGGTCAGGCACCGCTTGTAAAAGTTGGGCGAGGCTTCAGCCTCAGCCGAAACCCACACCCACCCACCCACACCTCTCAGCTACTCTACTGAAAACATGGCAACCAAGCAGGCTGTGCTCCTTATTTCGTCGTACGGCGGCAATCTGGCCCAGGAGAAGAACACCAAGAAGGTCGTCGACTGGTGCGAGGTAGGTTGGCTGTGGTAGCGACGACGCCAGCAAGTGTGGGCGAGGACAGGCGTTTCGAGCGAATACTCACTCCCCCCCCGCCCAACACAGATCAAGAAGGTCAAGGTCGAGATGGTCGATGGCGCCGACGCCGACAACCGCGATCTGCGCAACACACTGTGGGGTATCTCTGGCTCGCGCGGCTACCCGCAGATGTTCATCAAGACTGGCGACGACTACGCCTTTGTCGGCGACTACGACGGTCTCGAGGGTCTCATCGAGACCGAGACGTGGGACGCTGCTTTTGACGGTGTCGAGTCGACCGAGGCCTGAGCGGTAGTGCATGTTCGGACGGTGGAGCCAGGAGCGCAAGTAAAAAAACCGTGCTGACAAAGCTACGCCTGCGTCACAGCGACGCCCACTGCGCCACCACGCCCGGCGGGATTGACTTGCACCCGCCGCGCCCCAGCACACAAAGCGATGGAAACAGCTCGTCGATGGCATCAATGCCTTCGGGAGTGAGCTTGCGACAGCCGGAGAGATCAAGTTCAGTGAGCGCAGTGTGGGGATGCAAGACCTGTTCCACCTCGCCATTGCCGTCCTCGTCGTCGTCGCTGCCGCTCGCACCACCACCGGCTGGAGAAAGCGCAAACGCGGCGTCGGTCAGCTCGGGGTTATGAGCCATGTCAAGCCGTGTGAGGCCTGGGTAGTAGAGCACAACAATGCGAACAAGCATGCGACAACTCCGGGCGCCGAGGCCGCAGCTGCGGACCGCCAGCGAGCGAAGCGAGGGCACGCTTGCTCCCGGCGCCATCGCCGCCACCATGCGCCGCTCCAGGCCGCAGCCGGTCAGATCGAGTTCGGCGAGGTGCATGCTCGGTGTAGCAAACAGCGTTTGCAGCAGAGTACACGAGAGCTGCGTGTGGGCCAGCTGCAGCGTCGATACAGGTGCCATGCCGCCGGCGGCGGCAAGCGCCTCCAGCCCGGCCAGTCCGGCGTCGCCAGTCACGCCCGACATGTCGAGGGCAGTGAGCGAGTTGCACTCTTCAAGCCACGCCGCAAAGGCGCGTCTCGCAGACGCTCGTCGCGCCGGCGCACTGCCAAGCCCGGCCAAGTTTAGCCGCCGGAGCTTGGGCATGGCCGGCGCAACCTGGCCGAGCACGCCAAGATCGAGCTGGACGCATCCGCCGAGCGCAAGCGACGTCAGCGTCGCCATGTGCTCGGCGCCGAGTACAGACTTGAGCGTCGAGGGCGCAAACGCGTCGCACGCCGAGAGATCGAGCGACAGCATGCTTGCATGTGAGGCCGCCGTCCAGCCTGGTGGTAGCTCGCCCATGTCGTCAACCATCAGCAGGCCGTGGAGCGAGAGCCGAGCAAGGCATGGGAGTGAGACAAAGAGCGGTGCAACGCACGTCACGCTGTTGCAGTCGGCAAGCGAGAGCGAGGCTAATCGTGGCAGCGAGCTCGCAATCAGCGCCACAGTAGAGTCACGCACGGCCTTGCCTGTCCCGGATAGATCCAGCGCTGTAAGCGCCGTCGAGCCGGCGTACGCGGCAATGAGCTTGTCGATGACTTGGGTCTTCAGCGAGCGAATGCCGGCCAGCGAGAGCGCAGTCAGGTTCGGGAACCGCAAGACTCGCACAGAGTCGGCCGGCGGGCCGAGCGGCGAAGCAAGCCAGGTGAGAGCCGCGGGCGTCGCCGCCGCCGGGGCCAGCGAGAAGTCCAGCAGAGCGAGATGCGGCGAGGCCGGACCAAAGAGAAGCACGAGCGTGGCCAGATTGCGTGCGGCGTGTGGCGAGGTGGCGGCAATGGCTTGTAGCAGCCGGGCAGCCACCTGGTGCGGGAGCACCTCGAGCGGCGAGACCACATACCGGGCCGTGGCCAGGTCGTGTGGGGCGTGCCGGAGGAAGAGGCTCTCGAACCGCGAGCCGAGCACTGCCAGACACACTTTACGCCCCGTCCTCCCCGCACACCCACTTGCCGTGCCTCGACTCTCTCTCGTTCAGCGATGGTGACGCGCGCGCGTGGGTCGGGTGTTACGCACTGCCGGCCAGAGGAGAGCCGAATCGGCGGCCGAGTCGCCAGTCGAGTCGCCAGCCGAGTCGATCCGAGCCGGGCAACGAAGCCGATGGCGTGGACGTGGAAGTGGAAGTATCGCGGCGACATACAGCGGCAGCTGTTGGCTGGGTCAGTTAGGAGAGTTGCTGCCCGGTCGGGTCGGGTCTGGACTGGTTTCAGAACCAAATCTCGACGTCCCCTCCTGCACTGGCAACAGCACGGACGCTACGGGCGGCGGTGGGCTCGTGTGCGACAAACGCATCCCACGAGCCACCAGCCATGACGACGGTCCCGGCGGGGGCTCCGCTGTCGAGAGCAGCAGAGGCGATGTGCGTTGCAGCTTCGACCGGCTCACCCCACGCGCCTTCGCCAGGTACGCTCATGACGGATCCCGAGGCAAGTGCGAGGACGCCCAGCGCCACATCACGGACGCCGAGGCTGAACACTGCAGCCTTAACCGCAGCTACTGCCGTCAGCGCGGCTCTTGTCGAGGAAAAAACCCACAGGTCGCCGGCAACATCGCCGCCCGCACGGGCAATGAGCGGCGCGGCGACGGCCGCCAACTCGCCACAGCCACCGGCACTGACGACTACAGCGGCGTCGTCGCGCACGTACCGGGCCGTGATCAAGGCATCCAGCGCAGCACGCTCCTTGGGCGGACACATCAGCCGGCGCCGGAGGCATCCATCAAGCAGAGCGGCTTCGGCGAGTGGCGATCCGGCGTCGCTCGGCACCACAGGATGCGGCGGCGGAGAGGGGAGAGCCGGCAGCGGCAGGAGTCCGGTGCCCACGGCGCGCCACGCGTCCGGCAAACTCGACGGAGCGAGACGGACACCACGTGGGGTCTCGCCGGCAAGCTCGTCGGCGATGAGCACGCTGTCGATTCCGGCAGCCGCTGCCAGGGCACATGCATGGACAAAGTCGGCGGCGACGCCGGTACCTGCCAGCGCGACGGCGTCGCCGGCGTCGCGCCCTGCTGCATTGTGACCCTCGACCAGACTCGCCAGAGATGCGGCGGCAGCAATGGCGTTAGCACACGAGTCAAACTCGGCCACAATCTGGTGGGCCTCGGCAATAACGTCGCAAGCAGCCCAAGCGCTCAAAGCAGTGCTTGCCAGCGACCGGAACGCCGCAAGGAGCGACGAAGCATGAACGACGCCCGTCTCGGTAGCAGCGGCGACAAAGCCTTCGAGACCCGCCACCACAACGGCGCGTGGGCGGACAGACAAACCTACCGCATCGACTGTGCCAGCACCATCAACAATCCGTAGTGATGCATCGAGTTCTGGAAGGAGAGAGGATGCCAGATCGTCCGAGCTGGCGTTCGCACCCGGCTCGTCAACGCAGCTCTCGAGCGGGTACGGGTGAACCGCATCCGAGTCTGTTTGCAGAAGATCGATAGTGCGGGTCGAGTCGTTGTCAGACGATGAGCGTGACGATACCGACGATGCCGATGAGGAGGCACGCGATATGGATGAGAGCGTGCCAAAGGCGAGGCCACGACGCGGGGGTTGCGCGTCATCTCCCGGTGCGCCGAGGAACTCGAGGTGCGCCGACCACTCGAGATCCCAGCCAGGAACAAGCTCGTCAAGCACGTCGTCGACATCGCGACTGCTGCCGTCGCCGCATTCATCATCATCAACAAAGCCGGCGTCGTCGATCTTGCGGACGACGTACGCCAGCTCGTGGCTCGAGCTCACATGCAGCAGCTCGTACGTCTGGCTATGGTCGAGCGAGGGATCGGCGACGACCTCGGCCAGCTCAAAGCCGCGATACAGCCGGACCGAGGCGTCCGAGGCAGCTGATGATTCGGCGTCAGACCAGCGGTTGTGTTCGTCTCTGCTGGGGGAGCTCCCACCGACAGGAGCGCGGGCGAGGGTGGGAGCGGTGCTGTCGTCGAGCACTGCTGCGAGGAGCTGGGCATGGTAAGGCGAGAGACGCGGCGCAGGAAATCCAGGCCGCGGCGGGGTGGCCATGGCTGGCGCGGGCTGGTCGCCGTCGACGAGTACCGCTGTCTTCAGTGTGTAGCTGTCGAGGTCCGTGTGGGTGGCGTGTGGTGGCCCAGTGAGTCGCCGGCCGGCAGCGCGGGAGGAGCTGGCGCGGAGTGACCGGCGGTGGCAGGCGAGCGCAACGGGAGGAATACATGTTCATTTTCGTATGCGGCGGGCTATGTGTGCGGCGTGTGGTGGACGTCGTAGTCAGAGGGATCGACAGCGTACATGGGGAGAAAGAAGCGGCCGATGAGCTCGTACGAGACGCGCGAGGCAATGTAGGTGGCCGTTGAGGCAAAGCCGGTGTAGAGGAAGATGTTCTTGACGAGAGCGTCGGTCCGCTCGTTGGAGAGCTGGAACCGGTTGGGGTAGTGCCAGACAAAGGCGGTGTAGCAGAGGGTGAGCAGTGAGGTGGTCTCGATGGCGTTGTCCCAGCGATCGACAAACGGGAGGGCGTAGCAGTGGGCAATAAAGGACATGAAGAGGATCATGAGGATCGAGAGCGTGCGCTGGCGCGGATGAGCTAGCCAGAGCACGTACATGAGGACGAGCATGACGTCGCGGGCGAGAAAAGCAAGCTCCCACCAGAACATGTGGAGCTTGAAGATTTTGGCCCGGAGCTGCGAGACGTTGCGCTGCCAGAACCGTTGTGAGAGGATGCGCTGCGTCGCCCGCCGCCGCCGAAAGTAGACGACAAGCGGAAAGACGAGAATGTAAAACGCGGTGATGCCTGTGGCAAACGCCACCCACTTGGAGTGCGGCCCAGTGTAGCACTCGACGTCGGGGGCAAGCTTGAGGACAAAGACCGCGCCGACCTTGCGGCAGATCAGGAGCTGGAAAGAGGTGTGCAGGAGCGGAACAGTACAAATGCCAAACAAGTTGATGTAGGCATCGATGAACGGCGCGGTCTTGACCCACGGCACGTGCTCGCCACCGGAAATGGCCTTGAGCCGCTTGCGCCGCGAGATGAGGACCACCATGTAGCACGCGGTGATGACCGAGAGTATGCCAAGCATAACAAAGGGAACTGTAAACTGCGAGATGAGCTTCATGAACGGACTCAGTTTGACAAAGCACTTGCCGTCGAGCGAGAGAATGTCCAGAAAGCCCATCGACATGCCAAAGTACGGCGTGACCGGGTGGACCGGCCCTACTACCAGCGACGCGGCCTGGAGGAAAAGATAAAGATCCGCATCTCGCCACCCAGCTTGGAGCCAAAGCCAAAGAGAAGCGCGACAAAGGCGCAGCAAATGACAAAGACGAGGAAGAACCGCCAGCTCTCTGTGCCGTCGCACGGAATGCACTCGTTGTTCCACTCGTACTTGCCGTCCTCGCACCGCGAGCAGAGCGTCGACGTCTGGTTCCACCCATCGGCGCACGGTCGCGAGCGCTGGCACCGATTGCCCGGCTGCGAGACCGGGCAGCACCGGTTGGGAATGCAGTAGTACAGGCGCGGCTTGGAGTCTGGCGACGTCTCGTCCCACCACCAATCCTCCAGCGCGTAGATGCGAGTGAGACCCTCGCAGATGGCGCCCTCGGGGCAATTGGAGCAGAACGTTGACCGCACAAGATCAAACTGGCCCGACGGGCACTCGATGCACTCAAAGAGAAAGACCGGGTGCGCAACCTCGGCAAAGCCGGCTTCACACTGCTCGAGCACCACCTCCCACTTGGTAACGCCCGAGGCAGGCGTCGTTGTCATCACCAGGTTGTAGGGGATGCGGGTCCGGGTACCACGCAGAAAGAGGCCGGTAAACTCGGCAAAGCCATCCACAATGGTCACCAGGTTGGAGCCAATGACCGTTGCGTTCTCGCTGCCGACCGGGATGGCTTCGGCGCCAACTTCGGCGTTCATCTCGCGCCGTGCGGTCGGGTCGGAAAACTGAAACGTCTCGTTGTAGTAGTCGACGACTTGGACTCTGACGTCGAATGAGAGCGAGGCTTCGATCGAGAGCGGCGGCGAGCCGACAAAGGCCACCAACTCGTCCGGCGGCCGCGAGAGAATGATGATGCGCGAGGCTGCCGTCGCCTCGTCCGGCCCGTACCCGCCCGCCAAGTTGGCTGAGAAGGTACACCCCGCGCACGCAGGGTCGTGAATGGGCTGCACGCCCTCCCAGTAGAGGCCACCGCCCGCACCGCGGGCGTCATTTCGGGCAAAGACCACACCCACAAGCGCCGCTGACGGTCGCGTCGCCGCGTCGTCGGTAAGCATGTACACGCCACCGCCCCAGCGCGCCGAGTTGTCCTCAAACGAGCCGCCCACAATCGTCGATTCGTGCTGCAAGTGCACGCCGCCACCAAACAGCAGCGCGTCGTTGTTGCGGACAGTGACGTCAGTGAGGTTGAACACGCATGACGAGGTGTAGAGTGCAGCGCCAGAGCCGGCCACCGTGTTGCCCTCGAAAAGCGAGTCGGAAATGGCGCCGGTGGCGGTGCCAGAGCATCCGATGCCGCCGCCATTGGTGATGGGGGCTTCCGAAGACTTGGACGAGAGCGTGTGCTGACGGACGACAAGGCGCGAAGCCTCGATGCGAGACTCACCGTTGACCGACACTCCACCCGACTTGGGCGAGTAGTTCTTCTCCACAAGCAGATCATCGGCAACTAGCACAACGTCCCGCTCCATGTACAGCGCGCCGCCGTCGCCCTTGGCCTCGTTGCCGCGGAACGTGGAGTTGGTTAACGACGCGATGACCTCGCCAGAGAGAAATACCGCGCCACCGAGTGCTCCGGTCAAATTATCCTCAAACACCATCGACGCCAGTGTGAGGCGAACGTTCTGGCGAGCAAAGAGCGCGCCGCCCTCGCCCGATGGCGACGAGCAGTTGGACATGCGCGAGTTGCGCATGACAATGACCGCGTTCCGCTCGAAAAACGCACACCCGCCGCCGTACGGAGTTGTTGAGAGGAGCATGTCGACGTTGTCCATCTCAATCTGCGCCGTGTCGGCAGCGTACATCGAGCCGCCTGTGGAGAGGCCACGGTTGTCGCGTAGGACGCAGCGCTCGAGGCGTGAGACTGACTGCTGCGCCATGTACATGCCGCCGCCGATCGAGGCTGTGCCAAGCTGAAAGACCGAGTCGGTCACGTTGAGCACTGAGCTGCCCGAGGTGTAGACGGCGGCACCGACGTCGGCGATATTCACAGCCATGGTCAAACCTGCCATCTCGACTTGCGAGGTCTGCTGGATGTCGATAGCCCCACCGGCAGACGTGCCGCGATTGTCGACAAAGACCGAGTCAGTCACCGCTGTGTGCTGTGCGCGGACCAGCATCCCGCCGCCACGGTCCAGCGCGCGATTCGACTCGAACCGACAATTAGTAAAGGTGAACTGGCCCGTGCCGTCGAGGAGCGAGGCGCCCGCACCAAACTGCGACTCGTTGTCGCGAAAGATGAGATCGCGGCCAGATATAGAGGCGGCGTCTTTCGAGTACAAACCGCCGCCATTTTGCGACACAGACGCGGAAATGGTTGACGTTGCAATGTCGAGAGACGAGCCAATGCCAAGCGCATAGCCGCCGCCCTCAGCCGATGCTGTGTTGCTGCTCAGCACCAAATCGTATGCAGTGACGGCTGCGCCAAGTGTGTAGATGCCACCGCCGTTGCGGGCCTGGTTGCTGGTTAACTGTGAGCCGTAGATGGTACCGGTAGCAAAGCCAGCGCCGTGGATGCCACCACCATTGCGAAACGGCACGCTGTTACTTGTAAAGGTGCAGTTGGCGACGACCATAGCGGTGACAAGCGATGAAACAGTTGAGCCAAAGTACACGCCGGCACCGCCGGCACCAGACGCACCCACGACGGCGTTGCTGATAAACGTAGAGGTGTGGACCTCCACATCGGCGCCGGCATCAGCAAAGACCCCGCCACCGGTCGAGCAGCACGAGAGCTGGTTGAACGTGCAATCGCGGACAACGGCAGTGGCGGTGGTAACGGCCACGCCGACACCAAACTTGACACAGTTCGAAATGTCCGGCGCGTCGGTCGAGATCATCCGGAACCGACAGTTGATCACCGCAACCGAAGCCGAGTCCTTGATCTGCACGCCGCCGCCGGTGACAAACGGGCCGGCCCGGACAGCAAAATCGAGATTGGAGAGAGTGACGCCGGTCACTGCCGCGCCCGAGACGCCGATGATCGGAGTCGAGGTCGCCGGCGCAGCCACCGATTGCAGCGTGACGGTGGCCGGGAGGGCGGCTGTGATGGTGAGGTCTGCGACGGCAACCATCACCGACGGCTGTGCGGGCGGTGGCGGCGGCATGACATAGGTACCAGGCGCAAGAAGAATAGTGTCTGCCGCCAGCGCCTGTCCGTTGGCATACGTGAGCGTGAGGCACGGGCTCACTGAGCAGTCCCCGCTGTCGCTGCCCGTGGTTGCAACCAGCCGGGTGACTGCCGTCGTCGGGCCGGCAAGGGCGAGAACGAGGACGACGACGAGGGCGAGGGCCGTGTTGGGGAGAGGATGGATCATAAGTGGATGTGAAAGTGGGTGCGGGTGTCAAAGGTGTCGGGATGGAGCGGATGGACGGGGTGGAGGGGGTGGTGGAGTGTACGGCCAGGGGGCGGGGGAGAGGGGGAAAGAGAGAGATAGAGGGAACAGTTGCATTTGGCGGGTCTGGGGAGCCAAGGGCCCTCGACACGGATTCCACGACCTTTTCAGAGCAGCTACGGCTCGGTCCAAGCAGGCCACCGAGAGGCTTGGGCTGGGGCCAGACGGATAGACACATGACGTGAGCTGGGGGAGGGCACCAGGAAGATGGCGGCCACGGGCGAGGGAAGGAGCGAGGACGTGGGCGAAATGGTGCCTGTAGTGGCGGGCCGGAAGTTTCTGGATGTGGCTGCCGAGGAGCGGGTGCAGCAGGTGGTGGCCGAAGCGTTTGGCGGACAGACGGTGGTGATGAGGGTGTGGGTGGTGCGCGGGTCAGCGGTGGTGGCCTCGTACGCGGCGCCGGGCCTGGCGTCGGTGCGGCTCACGGCGGCTGCATGGTATGCGCTCCGCAACGCGCACGTCGAGCCTGACAAGTCGGCCCTCTTTGCGGCGCAGCTCGGCTCGGTCATGTACGACCAGGTGACCCGCGCCGACGACATGGCGGTCTACGCGGGCTGTTCCAAGGCCGGCGGCGGCATCATTTACCACAGTGTGTCTGCGGCGTTGGCGCTTGTGGCGCAGTACGGGCCCGAGACTGTGCCGACGCTACCGATTGTAGCCGTCGAGGCCTTTGCCGACTATCTGCGCGAGCGCGCAGTCTCGGGCTAGCTAGCTAGCTGCGGAGCGAGGGCGCCGAGGCGGCGCGGCCACTCGCGCGGCGCCCGGCGGCCAGCCTGCGCCCGGCCGGACCAAGCTTGGCCGTGTCGACTCGCGTCGATGAGCTAGCCGCTTCCCCGTCGAGCATCCGCACGTGCTTGCAGCGATAGAGCGTGAGGGCCCGGTAGCGTGGCGCGTCGGTCACCAGCGGGTTGCCGGCGAGGCCGAGACTGTACAGATGTGCGAGGCCGACGAGTACGTCGATCTCGTCGAGCTGGGCCACGCTGTTGTGGAAGAGATAGAGCTCGCGGAGCGCCGTCGCGTCGGCGAGCGGCGTGAGCGAGCTGATGTGGTTGTGCGAGAGGTCCAGAACTCGGAGCTTGCGGCAGGTGTGGGGGAGCTCCAGGAGCGCTGCGTTGCCGAGCTCGTTGCGCGACGCGTCGAGTGAGCGCAACGCCTGGCATTGCAGCAAGCCGTCAAGATCGGTGAGCTTGTTACCGGCGACGACTGCGCTCTCGAGCTGGGCCAGGGCCTCGAGGCCGGCGAGCGAGACGAGGCCGTTGTCACGGAGATCCAGCATGCGGAGCGAGGTACAGGCAGCCACGCTATTGAGCGAGGTCAGTGGCGCGCGGCCGGAGAGAAGGAGACCCACTGGTGGGGTGTTGTCGGGTGCAGAGCGCTGGCCGAGCCGACTCTGCGGATGGTGCACAAAACATGGCCAGGCTGAAAAGTGCGCGTTGGTCGGTACAAAGCCGCCGGCAGCCAGCGCTGCCGCGTCGTCGAGGCCCGCCACGCTCACCTTGGCCGCTTTGCGCTCCCCGGGTCCGACGCCCGTTCCGTCGAGCTCACGCAAGTGCGGTCCGAGCCGTGCGAGCACAGCCGCGCGGTACCGTGCGTGGCTCGGCCAGTGCCTGCAGAGCGGATTGAAGGCGAGCGAGATGAGCTGCAGCCGCGAGCCTGTCTTGCGAAGCTTGCGGAGGAGGGTGTGTGCGCCACGAGGCGTCGGCGTTGCTCCATCCAGCCTGTTGTGCCCGACACGAAGCTCGACAAGCTGCGGCAGCAGCGCCGCCAGACCATCGTCGAGCGACCGAAGCGCATTGCCAGTGACATCCAGTGATGTGACAGCCGGTACCAGGTCGGGCGTGAGTCCGTCGAGGCTCGTCAAGCCGCAGTGGACGAGAGCAAGACGCACGAGGCTCGCTCCATCCTTGGTCAGCGGCGGCACAAGGAGCGCAGCTAGCGACGGCACCACAGCCTCGATGGGGCCGGCTGCAAGCGCCGGACTCGACGATGCGTCCGCCAGCGCGAGCGCGAGCGCAAGTGCTTCGGATGGTGACGTTTGCTCGGGCGGGAATGCCGCAGTGAGCACAGCCCTGACTGATGACGTCATGCTGGCAAGCGGGGCGAGACAGGGAGCTTTGGCGAGCGCGAAATCGGCAGCGACGGCAGCAACCAGCCGAGGATCAGCATCCAGGGCTGTTCCAGTAAACGGGAGCGCCCGCGGGCCGAGTGCAATGACGAACGCCGGCTTGGCTCTGCGCGGATCAAGTCCAAGTTTGCAGCCGAGACCGCCGGTGGCGGCGGCCGCGCTGTCGGTCTGGTCCAGGTACACCTTGCAGATTAGAACCACGTGGGCGGCCGCTAGGCGCTCCGGTTCCAGCGCCGAGAGCTGTGACGCAAATTGATGCTCACCTTGCGACCAGCTGTCGAGGCCGTTACGAATGGCCCGCAGCACACCAGCTGGCTCGGTCGATCCAAGCCAGAACATGTACCGCGGAGTGAGCGGGGTGGGGCTTGACGTGGGGCACGAGACCGCAAGAGCGTGAGCGGCCAGACTGCCGAGACACCGCACGCCCGACTACCGAAACTGAGACAGACCTCGGCCCACGGAAGCGCGGCCTCGACACTGCTCGACAATACACACGCCCCGGGCACGACTGCGCCGGCAGTCTCGACCGGGAGCAGATCCAGGCCGGCGGCCAGTTCCAATTGGGCAGCAAGGACAGCATGGCGGGCGTCTGCGGCAGCAGCGAGCTCGATCGCCGCGGTTTTGGCAAAGGTCAGCGCGCTCTCAGCGAGTGCAGAAGAGTCTGCCAACGCGCGGACCGAGGGTCTGTAGTGCGCCAGAGTGGCGATTAGTCCAGCATCGGCGTGGAGTTTGGCAAGCGCTGCCGATGCTATGGCAACAGCGTTGTCGACTGCGGCGCGAAATGCGGCGTTGGCGGCGGCGCGTGCGGCGATACGGGCAGAGGCGTAGACGGCGCGACCGGCAAAAACGTTTTCGGCGACGTCGATGGGCGACGGGCCGACCCGCGATGCCGAGTCGCCGACGGTGCGACCGTCGAGCTTGGCGAGCCGGGGTAGGTGATAGAGAAGAAAGACGTCGTAGAGCGGCGCAGCGCAAAACGGGTTCGGGCCCGAATCGGCGTTGTCGAACGCTAGCGAGCGGAGTGACCGCGCGAGCGCCGTGAGAGGCAGGATGCACGGCAGCGAGCGCCAGTTGTTTCCAGCAAGGTTGAGTCTAACAACTCGAGGAAGCGTATGCGCCAGCTTTCGGTGTTGGCAAGGCCGGCGAGCGCGTTGTCGGCCAGATCGACATTGCGGACAACCGGTAGGATCGGGAGCGTGTCCAGAGACGTTAGCGCGTTGTCAGCAAGCGAGAGGACGGTGAGCGACGATGCTACATCAGAAATGGCATCGAATGCTTCCAGACGGTTGCCATAGAGGTAGAGCTCCTCAAGCACGGTACATTCGCGGAAGAGTCGACGCGGGAGGGAGGAGATGCTGGTCTCTGCTAGCCAGAGCTTGCGGAGGTGCGGGAGCGAGTCAAAGCCGAGGTCAGAGACGGAGGCTTGCGACAGTCGCACGTTGACAAGTAGGAGCGAGGTGAGATGAGCAAACCACTTGAGCGGCTTGCCCGAGATGGCGTACGGCGGATCCGGGACGGAGACGTCGAAGAGAGCCACGTCGCGGACAGCCTGCGGCTTGCGGACAAAGGTATTCTCATCGATCCCAGCTTGGTAGCACTGCGAACAGCATGGTATGACGTGATGGCGATGGTGAGTGGCACCATGTGCGAAGCGTTTGGCTATCCCGACCATCCTCTCAGCCTTGGTCACCTACCAGAGCAGCCACCGCAGGACAGCCTGCCACGACAGCGAGTCGTTCGTCCATGCCAGCCACGCACCGCACACCCTACCCCGTTCACCCCCTTGACCTGAGCAGCAAGTACGTAGCAGAGAAACAGATCCAGGGAGGGGGGGGGACGATGTGGTAAGTCAGCCCTCAACGGCCGCCGCCAACCCGGCCGCCGCCAACACCGCCCCCTTCCGCACTCACCCCCCCCTCCCCCTCCCCTCCCCCCCCCCACCCACACACACATACACATACTGTAGGAGACCGCCTCACCGAACCCATGCTCAAGGCGGCAGGGACTGACATCTCGCACTGGTTCGAGGCCAAGACCGGACAGCCGCGGGCAGAGCTCGACGAGGCGCTCAACTTGCCGGTCCCCTATGCGCCGCAGGGCCGGTATCTACATCTGCCGCCCAACGGACCAGCGGCAAAGTGGGACAATGACTTTGGCTTGCCGTGGTGGATGGATCCGTCGCGGTGCATCGGTCTGCTCTCGGCCAAGACTCGCTACATCCGCATCACAAACACTCTCACTGGGCAGGAGGACGTGCTCGAGGTCTGTGCCGAGGAGACGCTCGCAGAGATTCTGGAGCGGTACGTAGACTTTAATGCCCACGCCAGCTCGTACACATGGAAGCGGCTGGGGCGCGTCCTCGACATGGACCTCACCCTCGAAGAGAACGGTATCGACGACGAGGAGGAAGTGTACTATGACCTCTCGCTCCCCGATTCGTACTACTATCCGGCCATCTATCTCTACTTTAACGATGACCTTACCGAGGCTTGATGCCGAGTTGGACGCGGAGATTGCGCTCCGCGAAAGTAAAAGACTTACTTACCCGCATCTTGGAAGCGCTTTGATCGCTCTCACCAGTCGCCGAGGGAGATGTCGCCATTGTCGCACCCGTCATCCCCGGCGTCTCCGCATCCAAAGCTGAGGTCCAGGCCACCAACGACGCCAAGGCGCGCTGCTGTCGAGTCGAGCGCCGCATCAAGGACTCGCTCCGCCGATCCCAGCCCCACATCCGCTGCCGTCACCTTTTGCGGTGTGCCGGCGGTTGAGAACAGCCGGCTGGCATCGCGCCGGCTCTGTGCGGGCCGGCGCCTCTGTGCCCGCAGCCCGGCTGCCGAGGCCAACAGTGCATCCAGATCATCGAGATCCGCATCAGTGTATGCATTGGCATGCTCCCACTGCGCCGGATCGGACGCGAAACACTGCTCGACCTCCCACTCGCCGCTCAGCGCCGCCAGCTTGTCCCTTCCTGTCACGCCACCAAGCCGGGTGGCCGACGTCTTTTTAGCCCCTCCATCGCGGGACTTTCCCATTCCACCGCCACCAACACCCACGTTGCTGTCAACCCCCCTCCCGCCGCCATGCGGGCTCCCCGTGAGTCGACCTCGCCACTCCATCCCCCATCAACCCCACTCGGCCGTCGTCAACCAAAAACGAAACACAAAATTCAAAAGTTGAAATGTTTCGTGTCGCAGGCCTCCAACGGCCGCACCCGCAGCAAGCCCATAGCCGGACCCCTCCCCCCCCCTCCCCTCCCCCCTCCCCTTCCTCCCTCCCCCACCCACCTGCACACACTTGCTGGTACATACCTTATGTCGGCACCAAAGGTGCGATTCTTGCCTCCGGCAGCCGCCTTGCGGCTCGCCTGCTGGCGCGGGGCCTGGGCATTGGGGTCGATCCGGGCACCAAACCGTCGGCCCGTCCGCCCGCCTGCGCTCTTGGCCGACGACCTTGCCGATGCGTTCTCTTTGAAGGCCTCGGATGCACTTGGTGTGTCTGCAAAGATGGTGATACCGCCGCCGTTTCCTCCTCCCAGCGCGTTCACTGGACGAAGCGAAGCCATGCTGACGTCCGTATTCGAGTCGAGTGTCGAGTTGTCCGCTCCGCTCGGCCCTCGCCGAACTGTTCGCTCGGCTTGGCCCTCGGGCTCGCACCTCGGCTCGTCTGATTATGGGCGGGAGTCGGACATGAAAACGACTGCCAAGAGGCCGACAGACCATGGCAGAGCTAAGCGCGTAGCTTCTCTTTTACACAGAGAGGTGGTTACACAGAAAGATGGCTGATCGAGGCCGCCCACACTGGAACATGCTCGCTGGCAGCAGCGGCAACAACCCGCGCGTCCTCGTTCTTCTCGATAAAGTGATCGGTGAGCTCGTCATGGTTAGCGAGAGTGATGTCGTCGATTGAATCGACATGCAGGTTGAGAGAGCCGCGGCGGGCGTAGTACGCCATTTGGGTGCGGTGCCGAAAGTCGGGCCGCATCCACAAGTTGAGCATGTGACGAAGAATGTCTTCGTTGATCGGCTTGTTCATGACGTCGTCCATACCCGAGATGGTGCACATGGCCATCTGCGCCCGCGCTGTCTTGGACGTGCATGCCAGGATCGGCAACCGCTCATATCCGTTTCGCAGCTCGAGGTCGCGGATGGCCCGTGTGCATTCAAAGCCGTCCATGACCGGCATCTGACAGTCCATAATGACAATGTCAAACGCGCGCGCGTGCTGCTCCAGCAACACGAGTGCCTCGGCGCCGTTGGCTGCCGCAAGTACGTCAAAGCCGAGCTCTTGAATCATGACGCACGCCATGATCTGCGAGATCTGGTCGTCTTCCACCACAAGCACCTTGCCAGCTGGTCCCACGAGCGGGAGACAAATACCCGACAAGCTACTTTTGAGAGAGTCAATGTCGACCGAATCTCCCGAGGCAGCCGACGGCCTGGAAGCAACCGACGCGCCCGAGCCCAAGCCCGAGCTGGAGCCCGAGCTGGAGCTAGAGCCCGAGCCCGAGCCTGAGCCCGAGCCCGAGTTGGAGCTCGAACCCGAGCCCGAGCCCGAGCCCGAGCCCGAGACAATCAGTAACGGCGAGCGACGCTCCAAGTAGATGCCGCCGATGCTGGTAATAGATGCCGAAGCTGAGGGTGGACCGCGGACAGCAGCTGCATGTGGCATTGCACTGGTGTCTAACTTTCTGCGGCGGCGCGCCGAGTTGTAGCCAAGCAGTCCCGACTTGGCCAGGTCAGCCCGGACGCCGTCTGTGGCCATGGCCACGTCGTCGCGTTGCTTCCGCAGCGCTTCATCCATGGTGGTCACAGCCGGCGCTACGTCCTCTATCGACTCGAGCGAGTGAGCCGACGACCGCTGCGAGTTCCGCATGTCGCGGATGAGCTCAGCAAGGCCGGCCGAGCTCGTGGACGACATGAGGTCGGCGAGTAGGTCCCGCGGTGGCGAGCCAGATGAGTCAGACGAGACTGACATCGACCATCGCTTGCGCCTGGACCGATGATGCCGTTTGCGATGCTTCTTGGATTTCTTGCCCTTTTTGCGCTTCCGCCGCTTCCGCCGCCGCTTCCGACGCTTCCGCCCACCGTCCGACTGCGAGCCTGGCGACGCGGTCTGCGACCCGTCGTCCGACACTTTGTCGCCCGACACAACGTCCACCGAGACGTTATCGACAGTGGTGGAGATGTTGGCAAGCGACTTGGAAACAAGCGACATGTTCGAGCCGTCAATGACAGTTTCGGGCAGGTTGGGATTGGTCGCCGCACTCACTCCAAGAGATGCCGCTTCTGGCGTTGGAGCCGTCGTCCGTGTCATGCTCGCCGCCATCAGCGCGTGTTTGCGCGTCGGGGCTGTCTCCGTCGACGGCGAAGTTGAGACTCGGCGGGCCATCGCCGCATGTGTCTCGCTGAGCACTTGCATCAGCATCGACGCGACCAGTGGTTTGAACACCACTCGCGTGTTCGCGTCGTCGGTCACAATGGGCAGTGTCGGCACGACCGAGTCGACTGAGCACACCAGAATAACCTCGCGCGCAATGTACAGCCGCCGCAGCTTGGTCAGCAGTCGCCGCGTCCGAGCCGCCGAGCCAACTTCCTCCACCACATAAACAGAAAGTGCTGTCGCCGTGTCCAGCACCTGGAACCCGTCGAGGAGCCGGACTGGCGACGCCACCGTGGCAACCCGCAACCGTCGATGCGTGAGGTACTCGTCGAGCGCTTGCATCACTGCTGTCGAGTGAAGCGCGAGCACAACCCCAACGCCTTCGACCACCTCTTCGATGTCAGGCTCTGAAAACTCGTCCTCGCGAGTGCGTGCTTCTGGCGCTTTCGGGACCTGAAGCGTGAGAGTAAACCACGCCGGGAGCTCGGTCAACCGCGACCGTGGCGAAGCCAGTTGCGTCTCGCGAGTTGATTGCGAGCAGAGAGACGATGACGGAAACGCCACCGTGCCTCCCACGTCTTTGGCAAGCCGGTAGCAGAGCTCACGAGACTGGAGGTATGCTGCCTTGGCCTGGTCTGGTGACACGGCCGTCAGATCAGCACCCGACACGTTGAGGTCATTGCTAGCCAAGCTCCGAGGCTGAATTGCCTCCTCGTCCAGGACAGGAGCCATCTCGGTCGGATCAAACGACTGCCGCGACGAGTACCGTCCGACGGTGACAAGTAGCGGAATGGTGGCGCCAACCGGTGCTGACGGCGCTTTGGCTGGCCACCACAGAGAGTTATGTTCCGCCAGCCGACTCTTGATGCCGTCGGCGATGTACACGTGAATGAGGATAGCTGCAGGGTGTGGCTCTTGTGCGCGATCGGCGACCATGTTGCACATGAGCGAAAAGAGAACGCGAGTGTTGACAAGCGCTGGGTCGGGAATGCGAGGATCGACAAGAATGACAACCATGACGTCCTCGAGCGAATGGGTGAGTGCCACAGACGCCACCGCGTTGCTCAACATCGCGTTGAGCGACACCGGCGCAAGCTGCAGCGGTAGTCCGTCGGCGGCAGCTGTCAGCGATGCGGCCTCTGCTGACGATGATGCCAGCGCCTCGCCATCGCCCGAAGGTGTCGCCAAAAAGTTGGTGAGGACTGAAACAAGCTGGTCGGAGCACGAGTGGAGAATGTCGATCCACCGCTGGCGAGTCACCGAGCTTCCGACCGAGTGGCGCGAGAGAAGATGAGCGAGGCCAACAACCGAGTTGAGCGGGGTGCGGATCGAGTACGAGAGCTGCGCCAGGTACTCGCGGGCCACAAACTCGGCGTGCCGCGTTGCCGCCATTTGCCGCGTCGCCTCAGCAAGCTCGATCGATGGTTGCGAGACAACCGGGATCGCACCCAGTGGCGCGGTCTCGAGCGGGACTACCAGCGGCGCGACTGCAAGCCCGTCGCCGGTTCCGGTGCTTTCTGCTGCATCGGTGCTGCCGGGCATGTTGAGTAGGTCGTCAACGAGGACAATCGTGCCGGTGAACGTCTTGCTAACCTCATCATACCCACCCCACACTTCGACAGCGACGTAGGCAGAGTCGGCCTCGTCCTCGGCTCGGCGCTCGCTGTCACTCCCAGGTTCGTCGTCCGAGTCAAGCACCGAAGTCGACTCGGCGAGCATGACCATCGAATTGTCTTCGGTTTCGGTCGAGCGATCGTTGGCGTCGAGCTCGGGCCGTGACAGTTCGGAGGAAGTCTTCTGATTCTCTGACTTTGGCATGCGGAGCCGGGTGCGGAACTTAAAGACCGCTCTGTCGGTTTTTGAGCCACCAGAGTTGGTCGACATCGGCTTGTTTGTCGACGAACCCAGGACAGTCCCGTCAAAGTTGATGACCATGAGTGAGCCAAGCCGCGAGACTTCGCGCCGGATGGTGCGGCGACCGCCATCGTTATCGGAGACTGAATCAATGAATTGCCGCAGTGCTTGCTCGAATGGCTGGCGGTCGGACTTGGGCAGGAACTGCAGCAAGTGGTTCAGTCGCTCCAGCTTGGACGTTGGATGCACGCCCGCAGTTTCGTCCGACATGGAGGCCACGGACGAGAACACATCCTGCAGCGAGTCAAAGACCAAAATCGAGTCGTCCTCTACCGACCACTCAAACATGCCAAGGCGGAGCGTCTTGACGAGCGAGTGCAGCTGCCGGTTGCCGTTGAGCGACGGTGTGTCTGGCCAGGTAAGGACAACCACAATAGCGCCCGAGTCTGGGGAGACAAGCGTGCACTGAAGATGGACAGGGACCCACGTCGAGCCGATGCCACTGTCGACAGCTTTGCGGACCCATGCCATGCCAGAGGCAGACGTGGCAATCGGACCAGAGAGCTTGGCCGCAAGCGCCTTCCACGCCAGCAGCCGCGACGCTCGCGTTCCTAGCAGCTCTTCCCGCGTGTAGCCTGCAACTTCGGCTGCGGCGTCATTGACAAACTCAACAATGCCCTTGCGCGAAATGACTAGGACCGGATCACACGAGGCATGGAGGAGCGCTCGTCCGCTCAGCTTGAGCGGGTGCATCAGAGTCGACGACGAGAGCGAGCACGCGACGGCTGCCAGGCGCGGGGTGAGAAGCGAGAGGAGCAGCCCGTAGCCGCGCCCACTGGCCACGGGTCTGACGAGGGCGCACAGGACGGTCGCGCCGGTAGCCAGAACGACTGCAGCGGCGAGACTGACAAAAAACGCTAGGAGCGAGACCGGCGAAGAGAACCAGGCCATGTCTGCCATTGATGCAGCCTTCGTCAGTGCCACGCTCTCGTCCATAACACGCTGGGCAGCGGTAAGCGAGGCGACGATAGATGCTGGGTCACCTTCTTTGGTGGCGACAAAGCCAGCCATGGCCAACAGCGAGTCAATCTCGTCTGCCCGTGGAAGCTGGCGGCATCGCGACGAGATAAGGGACCTAGCTTGCAGCAAGGCCGGCGCCGAGGCCGAGGCCGACGCCACGTGCTTGCCGCTCACACTCCAGCTGTGTGCGACTTGCACAATAGAGGCAGAGCAAGCGAGCGCGGTGTCGTAGCTCGACACCGCGTTTGGAAGTGCCGTTAATCGGGACGCAAGCTCGAGCGACATGGCGAGGGCGGCAGCCGCCATGACAAAAGCAAGGAGGCCAAACCCGATGCGCTGAAGAGCGATGCGTCGCGAGCTTTCCTGAACGGCAGGCGGCTCCTGGGTGTTGAGAGAGAACTTGCCGCGCGAGCCTTGCATGCTAGCAAACGGTTGCGGAGTCGCAGCGACGTTTGAGCGGCCGCTGCGTCGGCTGGACTCCATTGGGCTCATATCGTCGAGTGACACCAGCGTCACCGACGCGAGAGAGAGCATGCCATCACGAAAGAGAGCAAGGACAGCGGCAAGTTCGGCAGCACGCTTCGAGTAGGCCGATGCGAGCATGCCCCAGAACGAGGTCGGGGCATGGTAGACTGACTGATCCAGCAGGGTCCGAGCCTGGGCCACTGACGAGAGGACCGGAAGAACAGCTCCTCGCCAGAGCAGAAGAAGGCAAAGTGCCGCGAGGAGGAGCAAGGCGCTGCACGCAAAGCGAAGCCAGCCGTTGAGCTCAGCAAGCTGGATCATGACGCTGCTTGGGTCGTGAGCGGACGATGCCAGACCGCCGATTTCCGCCGAGCACTTTGCCGAGAACGCGGCGTTGCCGCCGGCCTTGAACAGCTTTCGTGCGAGCGGGTGCTTGAGCCAGAATGCCGTCAAGACAGCATCGGGAAGGGTGCGAGTTGTAGCAAGCATGAGCCGCGGCGAGAGGCCCGAGGTCAGCACGGCAGTATGGTTGGCAAGGAGCGCATCGAGCGCTGCCGGGCAGTTTCGAGACGAGTGCGAGGCGTGTACAAGCGAGGCGCGGACACCCCATGCGGCTTCGCGAGCTGCGACAAGCGCGCTGACCGACGACGAGTAGCCAACAACCGCCATAAAGCCGGCGAGGACGACGAGTCCGAGGCAGGCGAGCGGGATCAAGCTCCGGCAGAGAAGTGTGTGGAGCGAGTACGAAGCAAGCTCGCGCCGCAAGCTTACAAAAACAGGGAGGGATGTGTTGCTTCCGTGGTGGTCGAGGACGGGAGGCGGCGAGGAGCGCCGAGCGCCCGAACCAGGGGCCGATGTGTCGTCGACAGGATCACAGTTCTCGACAATGGACCGGGTGTCGATCCAAGCTGAGGCTGCGCACCGGATCTGAGCCGCCGGTGAGTTGCGGAGCGACGATCGCGTGGCAGCATGGGCAACGGTGAGCGGAGAGAAGAACGGGCCAAGGCGGGCTTCGGCGAGCGCAGCGAGTGCATCGACAGGTGGTGCAGCTGAGATCGATGCGTCGATTGTGGAGGCGAGAGCTGCGCAGGTGTCGAGCGCAGTGATGTGGAGCGAGGCGAGGTCATCGACAGCGCCACGAACAACGGACGAGTCGGAGACGTGCTTGAGGCAGCCGCGACCGTAGACAGCAATGGCAGCCGCAGCCGGAGACGTGAGCTTGATGTTGTCCAGCGAGGCGAGGAGGGCGACAAGAACTTTTGGTGGAAGAATTGCACCAGAGACGTTGGCGATGAGGAGCTGGAGCGCGATAGCAGACGATGATGGCCATTGCGCCCATGCCAGAGCAAGAACGTCGGCGACTCTTGTGGCGTCTCCAGTTGCACGGTGGAGCTCGGCGGCCGCGGCTGCAAAGGCGTGCGGTGACGAGCCACAAACAAAGGCGGTGCATGCGGCGCGGAGCTTCATCAGAAGCGGCGACGGCCGGCGGTATTCGGCGACTTGCGAGAGCGAGGCGAGAGCGCTCCACATGTCGAGCCGCGAGCCGGTCTCCAGCACGTCGGCAAGCTCCCAGTCAACCAGACCAGACGCAAGTCTCGCACGCAGCTTCGCAAGCCTCGCGTTGACGTTGAGGACGAGGACGACAGCAGCGGCGGCGGCGAGACCATTGAGGAAAGTCTTGATGGCGGCGAGTGCCGAGCGGTCAAAAGAGTCGGCCGCGAGCGACGAGCCGTGGAGGATGACGACAAAAACTGCAAGGGCGGCGGCAACAGAGTTGGCGGCCCGGGCGTGGGGGTGCGAGAACCAGCGGCGAGCGAGCGAGACAACCATGACAGCACATGAAAAAGCACCAACTACTGCCACAAACAGTTTGCATGACCGGCTGATGGGCTCGACAGCCGCGGCACAGCCAAGCGCGATTCCCGACGAGATCGATGTGGCCAGCAGCACGTACAGCATGTCCGTCGGCAGAAGCCATGCGCCGACGACCGAGCTTGCGGCTTGCGGAACAAAGAGGGCGAGACGATGCGCCAGGAGGAGGATGACAGCGAGGACGATGGCCAATGCTGACGCCACCATATCAATGAGCGTGCACATGGGCGAAGCAGCTGCATAGCCGAGCATGCCCGATGCCGGGAGGAGAAGCAGTGCTGCCGGGACGTCGAGACCGCGGAGCCAAAGAGGGAGGACCGTCGCTGGCGAGGCGGCGACAGGCGCGGTGGCAGCACGAGCAAGAGCAAAGACGCAGAGGCCAAGCATGATCACACCTGCCGGCGGGATGCACGGGAGCAAGGCGGTAGCAGTGCTGGCGAGGATTGACTGCGGAAGCCAGGTGACCAGCGGGACGACGGCGAGTGTCGCCAGAAGGAACAGCGCCGCTACGCCGGGTGCCAGCCGAAGGAGCAGCGGCTGTATGGCGACCCATACAGTGACCAGCGACTCTGTCATGCGTTCGCGTGACAAAAGCCACACCATTCGTGTGATGTGTGGTATACGGGAAGGGGGGGGGGGGGGTTAGGTGGGGCGGTGTTTGTGTTGTTGTTGGGGCTATTTGCGGGTTGGGCTGCCTTTGACCAAACCAGTCACGATTTGACGGGTGTGGCAAATGGAGAGCAAAGCGGCGAAGGGGTGGCCGGCGGCCGGAGGTGACGGGTGGCCGGCGGCCGGAGGTGACGGGTGGTAGGTACGGGTGAGGATATTGGGGCGGGGGCTGCGTTTGGCTCAGCCCAAGCCCTCAAGCCATATCCCTGCCAACACGCCCACACAGCGACTACACCACTCTGTTCCATACACGCGTACGGAAAAGCGTGTGTACACGGGCATTACGTACACGCACACAGACAAACGCCTCGAGTACAACCGTATGGGTGGCGGACAGCGAGGTGCTGGGCAGCCAAGTACGAGTGGCGCAGTGGGCAAGGAGTGGACGGAGATGGCGGGCAACGCAGAGAGCAAGGAGATCAAGGATGGTGAGAGCAGGTGCAGATCTTGGCGGGCATGGGCGCAGGAGGCCATTGAGGCAGACTTTGGACGGGTGGCGGCGTTCCAGCGGGCGTGCGGGGTGGGCGCTGACGGCGAGCGCGGCTACCTTCTCCTGCATCTGATCTTCACCGCCGGCGCTGCGCTCGGCAACGAGCTCTTCTACATTGTGTTTCTCCCGTTCCTGTTCTGGGCTGGCGCGCCGCTGGCCGGACGACGCGTGATGGTCCTCTGGGGCGTCTCGGGATACATCGGGCAGCTGCTGAAGGACATTGCGCGGCTGCCACGGCCTAGTGCGCCAGCGGTCCGCCTCGAGCATCACTACGCCAACACCGAGTACGGCATGCCGTCAACTCACGCTATGTTTGCCTTTTCGCTCCCACTTGCGCTCGCCGGCCTCATCAGCACTCACCACCCGCACGTCGGGCTCTCGGACGAGACGCTGTGGGCCATCGCGGGAACGTGGGCAGTAGCGATGACGCTCTCGCGGTTGTACATGGGCGTCCACTCAACGTATGATGTGGTGGCCGGCATTGGGCTCGGGCTTGGCTTCTACGCCGCCTTTGCGTACTCGTCGCTTGGTGCCACCATCGACGACTACGTGGTCTCGCACGCGCCGATGTCGCTGCCGTCGGCGGGCGCGATGGCAAGCTCCCTCGCGGCCCACGGCTGGCACCACCCGGCGGCTGCTGTCGTTGTCGTCAGCGTGGTGGCCACCGCTGCTGTGCCTTATCTCAACGGGCACGCCGAGTGGACATCGACGTACGCCGATACCGTGACGATTCTCGGCGCGGTCAATGGGGCGCACCTTGGCTCGGCGCTGTACAACGCAGAGCGCGACGCTGCGCGCGCGCTCACCTTTGGTTGCCCCGGTGCAGGATGCTCTGGTGTGGTGCAGAGTGCGCAAGCCGCCGGCATCCCGGTGGGTCCGGGCCTCACCGCGCTCGGCCTCCTAGCCCGTACGCTTGTTGGATTTGCAGTCCTTGCGGTAACGCGCGAAGTGGCCAAGGCCGTCAGCCTCCCGCTCTGCTTGGCGATCGGCCGGAGGGCCGGCGTCGTCCCGCGCACCGGCTGTCCTTCGCTTGCCAAGGCTTACGCCGTCGACACCCCAGCGCGGCTGTTCACCTACACGGCGGTGGGATGCATGGCGGTTGCCGGCGTACCCCACCTGTTCGCTCATCTAGGCTTGTAGCGGAATGTTACTGTCGCCGCACAGGAGAGGCTTCTACGCGAAGAAGCCTGTATGGAGGGGAGGGGAAAGAGAAAGAGAAAGGTCGAGAGCGAGCGCGCGCGCATCGCGCATCAAAGCAGCTTTGCCACTACCATGTGGCGTCGTCAGCCGACTTCATGTCCCGGTTGTGGGCGCCGATCTCGGGGTGGAAGTACAGCATCTCGTTGTAGATGAGAGCGCGGAGGTCGTCCTCGGTAAGGTCGGCCTCAACATAGGGCAGCTCAAACTCGGCCGGCGCAGTCGGCTCGACAATGGCCGAGTGGAGGGCGGCGAGGTACGGATGTGAGAGGGCCTCCTCGGCGGTGAGGCGGTCGGCCGGGTTTGAGGTGAGCAGCTTGGAGAGGAGGTCCTCGGCGAGCGGGTCGAGGCCGGGCAGGATCTCGGAGAACGGGACCGGGTCGTAGCGCGGCTCGGAGAGCATGTGCTCGCGGGCCATGTCGTTGGTGATGCTCATGATCTCGTCCATCGAGGGCGTGCCGATGATGCGGTAAATGAGCGAGAGCTGGTGGACGTGGTCCTTGCCCGGGAATAGGGCCTTGCGGCCGATGAGCTCGGCAAAGATGCAGCCGACCGACCACATGTCGACGGCCTTGGTGTATGCGCCGCGCTCAAAGATGACCTCAGGCGCGCGGTACCACCGCGTGCACACGTACTCGGTGTAGTCGCCGTTGTCCTGCGCAAACGAGTGGTGCGAGGTATCCAGCCGTGAGAGCCCAAAGTCGCACACCTTGAGATTGCACCGCGAGTCAAGAAGGATGTTGGCCGGCTTGAGATCGCGGTGAATGACGCCTGCAGAGTGCATAAACTTAATGGCGCGGAGGAGCTGGTACAGAAAGTACTGGTAGTGCTCGTTAGAGAGAACCTGGTCCGACTTGATCACTTTGCGCATGTCCGTCTCCATCAGCGACATCACAATGTACAGATCGTCAAAGTCCTCATCTAGCGGCATCACGTCCAGAATCTCCACAATGTTGTTGTTCTTATGCTTGAGGAACTTGAGCAGCTGGATCTCGCGCAGGGCACGCTTCGCGTCGAGCATGTTGGCAAACACGTCCTGAATTTTCTTCACGGCAATCTCCTCATGCTCGCCATCCTTGTTCTCGGTGTCCACGCCACGGCTACCGAGCCCCCACCGCATCATTCTCAGTCTGTGAGCTACCAGCCTCTCCATCCTCCTCTGACGCACCTTTCTGCTTTGTCCTCACGTCCCTGCTCCTTCTCTTCGCCCGCTCCCGCTCTCCCGCATTTCCGCCGAATGACGTTTGGCAAACGAGCGAACAAACAAACCAACAAACGAACAACAAACACCATTGGCGAGCGAAGAGGCCGAAAAGCAGTCACGCGCAGCGGCTCCACCACCACCGCCGCCCCTACTCAGCAAGCAGGGTTTACCTCCGAGGCAGGGGGGGAGGGGGGGGGGGGGGGGGGGGGGGGCGACAGCTTCAACTAACGTACCAAATAGTGCCGTAGGCCCCTGTGCCGATGAGATGCTCCAGCTGGTACCGGGGTGAGACCTCAAACTGAATCGAACAGACCTCAAACACGACCTTGTCTGACGCCATGTCGGGTGTCAGACTCACCCAGGAGTGGAGAGAAATGGCGCTCTTCGGGGAGCACCCACGCTGCTCGCGAACCTGTCACAAGCAAGAACACTGTATTTTTTCTGGGGGAGGGGGGGGCGGGGGGGGGGGGGAGGGGAGGTAAAGTTTAGGTCCG